ATACCTTGACCCTTCCTGTTTTCCATATTCAAAGTGCCCAAGTAACAGCAAGAAAATGTTTCCCCAACCCATAAAAGACCTAAGCTAAAGCTAGAAGTTTTCAGAAAATACATATTTACTATAAGCATCTAGACAAAAGAGAAACAGAAAGTAATCAGTGTTTCAACATAAAATACAGAGTAAATGGAAATTGTGTCAACAGAACACAACATAGGTGTTTTGGTTTTTTTCACTCTGTGATGGTACTAGGTATTGAACCCAGGGGGGGTCAATCACCTAGCAACATTCCCAGCCCTATTATTATTATTATTATTATTATTATTATTATTATTTTAGACAGTTCTCCCTAAGTTGGTGAGGCTGGCTTTGAACTTTGCTGTTCTCTTGCCTCAACCTCCCAAGCCACTGGGATTACAGTCACCACCGGTGCCACTACGCCCAGAGCAACATGCTATTTTTGATTGATAGGTACTCAGAATTGGGGGAAAAAATAGAAAAAAAAAATAGAAAAAGAGTTCAATGATAGAGTAAAGTAGTCATTTGGTGCCCTGAGCAAACCTTTACTGAGAACCTGTTTAAGGGATCCTATCACAGAGGACAGTGAGAAAATAATGAGCAAAACATTTCAAGTGCTCACTGCACAAGGGGAGGGCACACAGGTAACAGATAAAAACAGGATGAACGAATAGCCCCGTAAGACATCCATACTGGAGGTATCTACCCCAGACTGGGATGAGAAAGGAGAAAGTAAATGATGAAGCAAGAGACAGACAACTAAAAAGACTAGGAAAAGTGTTCTAAATAGAAGTGGCATTTGCAAAAGCAGTAAGAGTTTGATAGGATTCAGGCTGCTTCCTACAATACAGTGTGGTAAGAACAGGATAGGTACAGGGAAACGCACAAAATAGACTGGGAAGAACAGCAGAGGCCAGGGCCTAGAGGGTCTCACAGGCCAGTCAGGAGACACATTTTGATCTTAGGTGCTAGAAAGCCATGGTAGGAATGTCAGTAAGGAGGTTGACATATAAAGCAACTGTCATGGGAAGACATATCCAAGATAGGATTAAGAGATACCAAGGACAAAGACTTAGTTTTGAAGAGTACTGGGAGAGGGTTTGAAGTTGAGCCTAAACTACCAGAATTGTAAAGATTTGTATTTCATCAAAAATAATCTAAAGGCTGAGGAACTCTGAAAGTACACACTTTGAATCCCAAATAAATAATGTTATAAATGTTTCTCAGAATATTTAAAATAGAACAAGCTTGTAATTGAGGAGACAAAAAAAAAAAAACACAATTGCTTTACTCAATAAAAATGTCTGAATGAACAGTTTATCTATATAATATGTAGAAAAATGCTAAACATTTCACAGTTCAACGTTTAAAAACACAAAAATATGGACATACACAGAAAAACAATTTTTTAGAATTTGGGAAAAGCCTTTCTAAGGATTTAAAGTGTGAATCATTTGATGTCTAATAGCAAGCATACAGGAAAAAATCTTAACCACAGCATAAAAGTCACATTTTCACAGATTCTCTAAATAGCAAAATATTATTCATTCACATTTCAGATTTTTTTTTCTTTCTGGAATAAAAATAAGCAGACTTTGAATTTTGTGAACCATAATTTATAAGTTTTCTCAGATAATGTACATATGTTTAAATTACAAGTGCTAATTTAAATTGAATCTTGATCCAAGTGTTAAAACCATCTTTCTAATATTTCTAAGTTTATTTAATTCGTCTTTCTTTTCCTCTCTTATTCCTCCTTCCCTCAAATATATAAAAATGTTTGACCCCTCAACCAAAACCCTTCATACACAAGCATAGTTGTTTTAGGAATCTAAAGTTACAAATAGGATCCTTAAGGTAGAGATTACCTTAGTTTAAGAACTTTAATCCTATGATTCTAATCATCAATGAAGACAGAAAAGATGAAATGTGAATACAACAAAACAAATGTCTTAGGAGTAGGATCTATTGTTAGTGGGGAAATGCTATTTTTATAGGCTCTGAAAGGTACAATATACTTGTCAAGACAGTTAGAAGTAACCTGGCTATTTCAACCATACCAATAAATCTGTTCACATTAAGTAATTATAGAGTAGGAACTAAAAAGTAAGAAGGCATTAAAGAATATAAAATATTATGTATGCATCATGAACTTAATTTGGAATTCTTTGTGTTTCAGAAAATGTGGGAAGGTCGAAAAAAGGTGGAGGTGTAAAAACTGAAAGAACTTCAAGTTGGCAAACGACACGAACTGCAATTATACTCAAATGCCCTATTTAGAAAAACATCTTGAAGCCATCCTCAAGTGTTAAAAGAAAGAGGCATTTGTTGACTACATTTTTAATCTTTCCGTTAATTAGTTATGCTTCAGAACTTATTCATTAAACTCCTTAGCACTTTTGACACACTAAAGAATTACGTACCTACCAAGAGACTATAGAGAGGCAAGGATCCAAAAGAATAAAACTGTACCTGTTTTTGGATTCAGAGATTCTAATTAATTTTGAAATGACCTCCCTTCTCTACTTTTCAACTGGCAAATGCTTTGGTGCCGGAGACAGCAAGTCCTGCTAAGTAAAGATATAAAAACCTGATGAACTTATTCATTAAAGTAGAACCTAAAAATAGATGGATGAGTAGATAGAGAGAAAAATTACAGGAGACACCCTGCTCATACTTACTATTTTTCTTTACCAAAAAAATAAGAAGAGAAAGAAAAACTAAAAGAAAGAGTCACCAAACTGTCAGATGTGATACTGGTTAAACTAGTATTTCCCCTCCCCCTTCCTTAAAACAGTGCTCAAACATTTTGAATGTCAACCAAAAAACAAAAACAAAAACAAAAAACCCAATCTAATTACCTCTCAGCTGAATTAGTCTTTCTTAGAGGCCTATGGAAAAAGAAGAAAGAAGGGTGCCAGAGAAATACCCATGCAATTTGACTCATGAATCCAAGACATGAAAATTTCTCTGAATCACAAGATTTTTGAAGACAAAGAACAAAAAAGCACACACTCCAAGAAATAGAATGTGGCAGAGAGATGACAAGGCTGGTCCAATACCCAGGGGCCCCGTGTTCATTTTTACTGTGTCATTGGGCAGAACCAGTTACCATTTTATTCTAAAATGAAAGGAAAATGCATTTTGTCTGTCTCACTGAGCAAATTATTCCATTTTAAGAGACCCAGCCCAGAGGCACTGTACTCCCGGCTTTCTCCAACCTTCTTTCAGAAAAGGAGTTACCAAGGTGCAGTTGTAATGAAGAAAATAGTGCAAAACAAACAACCACGCATCTACAAGCTGAGGTAATTTACGGTGACAGTACTCACTCTCATGCAATATATTTGATGTCTGTTTTCCCACCACCCCCCATTGACATGAACATTCAGGAAAATAAAAGACATCTGTCTCTTATCCTCCTCTTTAAGCAAACAAGAATGGTTGCAGAATGGAGATGCTTTGTTTTGCCACAAAGGATCATGTTGGTGATGTGTGCACTTCTTATGAAGCATTATCTATGCTTCCTTTATTCTCCAATTAACAAAGCACACAAGCACTAAGGACCACTAAGCACACCCTGAGCACTAAGCACACAGAGGATTCCAAAAGCTCTGTGTTCTTTTTCTTGTAAATGCATTTTTTAAAAACAGCTCCTAGAAGAAGTTTAATTGTAACTGTAATGTTTGTAATCAGCGAAGAAAAGGTTTACAAACAATGCTGTTCAGTCATTCGCAAGCCTGGTCCATTTTCTATCACTCGATTTTTACAGAAACTGTTTTCCTAGGAAAGGGCATTTCTTCTAGATTCTGAATTCTGTCTTCTTCAAGTAATTATGCCTTTTGAAATCAGTTTTTCATTTTTGTGTTGGACTTGAAATCAGTTTTTAGTTTTGCTTTTATAGTTTCTAAAAATCCATCGGTCAATCTTTTCCTTATGAGAATAAGTGGCATTCAAGCTACGGTAGGTTGACCTCAGTAGCTAAAAATCCAATAGTTTAAAGATTGAGCTCATTTTTCAAGAGACACAAACCATGAAAAATGATCAAAATGGAGTTGACATCCTGAAATTCTTATTTTACCTGAGAAAAAACAAGGGATGGTTCTTGTCTGACCTCATTTTGGCCTCCTTGCATACCTACGTGGATTTCAGGAACCTGCATTAGATATTTGAGCAGAAAGTGATCTAAAAGTTCACTTAGCAATTTTTTACCAAGCTGTATCTTCTACCCTGTGCCCACATGTGTACACTTCTTATTTTGTCACATGCACCATTGATTCCTTTGCGTCATTGTTAACATAACTATTTCCTGGGTCTCTGAATTTTAGAATAAAGTTATTATTAGATAAATCATTTTCCTGGCTAATGAAGATGGATGGATAGAACAAGTTTTATAAACCTAAATGTCATTTACTTATTTTGTGCTCTCTATCATGTAAGGGATCAGACTCATTAACTTCCTCCTCCTTCATCTTACTACTTAGGTACACTGAGATGAGGCAGAAAAATAAAGAGTAAGATGATGTGTACTTGAGATAACTTGTTTATTTATTAGCTGGGCAAGTCACCAAACTTTTCTGGGCCTTGGTTGGTTCCTCTCTTAAGGAAAGGGTTGAACTAGATAAATCTATTACCCCTCTGAGACTAACTCCCTGAGTTACCAACTTGACGATCATTCCAAAATCCAGTTCACACTTACCAACATGGGATTATAAAGCACTTTGGGCTATGAGCAGCTATAGCTTAAAGGTACTGTTCTGCTATTGCCAAAGTTTAATCAAACCCTCTCACAGCCCATTAGGCTGTGACTGATACGAATGTTCTTTGCTGAAGCAGCATTCCTAGTTTTCACTGAGATTCATCACCTCATTAGTGACCCAATTTCTAAAATCACCAAACAAAGGAAATTTCTGTTTAAAAAAGCTGACAAGTGAAAAATCTCTAAAACCATCCCACATTTACTACTACATTAGGAAAGTTCACAGTACCTAAAATAGCCACCACCTCATCATCCTGGATGACTTCCAAGGATCCCGACACCACAAAGCAGAGGGCATCCACACTTTCTCCAGCATGGTAAATGAGGTCCCCAGGAGCACAGTGAATGGTTTGGAACTCTACTGCCAAGGCTCGCAGACACCCATCGCTGGCCAATCGAAAAGCAGGATGTTCATTAAAAACCTTCCGGTTTAGATGAACACAGATATCAGCTCTCATGTCCTTGGGACAGATGGAGAGGACCTGAAGAAAGTGAGAGATGAATAAGTGAGAGGTAAAGAGAAAGGGGCCATTTCAGGAAAAAAAAAATTCAACAAATATTTATTGACTATGATGATGTCTACTGCATGTTCTACTAATTCCTGGGAAGGCAAAATTAACAAGACACAGCTCCGGTCTCAAGGAGCAGCTAATACTCTAGTGCAATGGGCTGATGTTCACGTGGGTTATTATAATACAACACTCCATAGTGAATGCTTCGAGAAGAGAATGGGTCTCCCCATGATAAAAACATAATATTATGGTCAGAAAGGGCCCAAGAAAAAAAGTTACTGTCATTTCATCAAAGAGCCAATTAAAAAATGATATTAACATTCATTTTAGTCTAACTGACATGTCACAACTATGTCATAACTAAACTGATATTCGATACTATGAACCATGCATTGTGGGCAGATTCATATTTGCTAACTCTAATCAACCAAAGCACCCTGGGAATTCAACTTGCTAGCTGACATAGCTTTATTCTTGTGTTTTCTTCTGTCTAAAATATTCTCCTTTTACATATATATATGTAAAAGGAAAAAAATATATTTTTTTTCAAGGATGATAAAAGGCATTCACCAGCCTTCCATAGGGCTTAGGTAACTGGAAATGTCAGCATCAGCAGGGGACACATCATTTTGCATAGGAGTCTTTGCTCCTTCCCATCTTTGACTCCTCGAGATTGCTGAGGGCAGTAGCAGAATTCAAGCTCTAGGCATCCTTTAGAAGAGGGACACTTGGCAGAATCATTCTTAGAAAGATTAAGGCATAGAGAGCTTTCATTGGCTTTTATTTCCAACAGGGCATTTAAACACCCTGGTTAAAATGGACAACCTCATCACATTTAATCAGAAGATTACTGAGCTGGATGTGATTACAGAAGTCGCCACTACCCAATTCTGAGATATAGTTGTGAACTCATTTATAGACCTTCCCCAACCCCCTTGGTAACCTACTCTTTTTTTTTTTAAGAGAGAGAGAGAGAGAATTTTTTAATATTTATTTTTTAGTTTTCAGCGGTCACAACATCTTTGTTTGTATGTGGTACTGAAGATCGAACCCCCGGGCCGCACGTATGCCAGGTGAGCGCGCTACCGCTTGAGCCACATCCCCAGCCCCGGTAACCTACTCTTTATAATGTTTTCCTTTGATAGGATTTCAGTGGGAATAAAGACAGTGCTTATATCATAAGCTCATTACAAAAATTAAGTGAAAGGGCATAAATACACCCCAGGTTAGCCTGGCTAAAAGGGTAAAGAAATGCTAGCTTTTATTATCCCTTTGGAACACGTGTATTCCTACAGTTTATTATTGCTTTACTTTCTTCAAAAGCAACTTACTTGTTTCACTTTCCACCCCTGTCTAAAGCCTACATCTGGGGGGTTTTATAAATTTCCAGATGGAATTAAGAAAATATTTTATCAGGTATTTGAAGATATTACAAGCACTGGTTGAGAAGATTTTTCTCAGGTTGAAAGTGAAATTTGGTCTAGGAAAGCAAAAAACTAAAAAAAAAAAATTTTTAAAAAAAAAAAAAACGAAAAAATAAAACGAAAGGGTTAAAGGAAAAATGGACTGCTCTGTTTCTATCCATTTACCACATAGGACTTTTTTCATTGTTTTAGATTCATTTTGGTTAAGAGTAATTTTCTGTCCTTTTAATACTTTCTTTTAATACATTCATATTACAATTGGAATTTTTCAATACTTACAAGATTCTCTGTTAAGTGGCATTTCAAGAGAGGATTTTTATTATATTTTAAATGCATCATCTCTATTTTGTTTTGCTCCACTTATGACCTGAGCTCATTGATCATTATGATGGATAGTATATACTTATGTCTGGAAGTCACAGGTGACAAGTCAAAACCAAGTGTTAAAATAGGCCAACCAGTCACACCCAGTGGAAAGCTTCCTCCCCTACCCTACATAGAATATGTGCCTGACATGGTGTGTCTGCTATCAAAATGTAAGTACAGCATTATTTACCCTGAAAATTAAAGCACTAATAACTTTCTTAAGCAAGGCAAAATTTAGTTTTATGTGATACAATAAAATTATCATTCAAAGTAGCTCTTAAACTTAGTCCAGTGGTCCCAGTTTCAATGTATTCTGTCTTGACTGTCAGATCCAATTTCTTCTGCTCAGGCTCCCTAATAGGCATCTTATAGTTACTAACAAATACAATTACATGGCAGAAGAAAATATTCAACTTAAAAGTGACTTTTGTTTGTCTCCAGAGTTGATTATTTCTCCCCTCTTCACATCAGTATATTAATAAATTAAATAGATTCTTAATTAAGAGAGGCAATAAGTTTTCCCTTTGGAAGAGCTATGACTATATAAAGAACCATTATGTAGAACTTTGCAAACCAGCCCTGAACAACAACAACAACAACAACAAAAATGAATGCCACATTTTGAAAAATAAAAACTCTTTGATATTATTTATCATATTCATTAACACCAAGGTCAAGTGGTATCACAGCAGATATCCCTCAGACTCCAAAGGTCTAAACTCAACACTAAGATAAAACGAATTCATAGTAAAACAAATATGATCATGTTATTGCTACTTTCTTAAAATATCTGATGCCTTGCTTTCCCACCAAGTAAAGCCAAAATTCTAACCAAGCACAGAAGGCTCTGTACCTCAGGAGCCTCCATCCCTCCTCCCTCCCTCCAAGGCCACATTCCTCCAAGGCACCATCTTTCTCCCCACCCAATTTGCCATGCTCTCTCCTGACCCTCACACATGCTTTCCCCTTCTCAAGCACAACCTATCCTCTCTTTCTCTACCCAGTCTTCTCTGATATTTGTCAAAGCACATAGCATCCCTTTCTCAACTATAAATACAGTGTCTACACAGAACCATCACAAAATTTAGGAATATGTTAAAGACAAAAATGAGAGTCAGAGGTGTTGTGATTTGTTATTATTTTTTAATAACATAAAATAGTAACAATTATTACTAGAGATTTTACACATTTGTCTTCAGCTACAAAATATCTTTTTAGTATTCGAAGAAACCATACCTTATGCCCAATATATAAGACAGATACAAGCAAAATCTATGCTGGAAGAATCCCTGCTGGGCAGCCATTCATTCATTCAACTACAGTTATTGAGCAATGCTTTGTCTATGTGTGTTAATACTATGCAGTGCCTATCCAATGCTCCATTTTTACAGATAAGGCAAATGGATCTTATAAATATTATGCGATCTTCTGAGGTCTTTTTAACAAATTACTATCAAAAGTTCTTGGGTCCTATCTCTGAAGCCATATTTCCGAGTGAAGATCAACCAGCAATAAAATATAACATCTGACACATTCAGATGTTTTTGGTCCTCTGTTACTGCAAGAACATAAATACTGATCTCTAGAAACAATTTAAGGTCAAATAATTCAAATCCATAGTTTATTTATAAGTTATTAATACCCCTACCTCTACCACTGAACAGCCAAGATTTTGTTGGAAATTTGCTTTCCATTTCTACATACATTAATTTTAGCTTCAATAAATGTATTGCATATTTGAATGTGTTGATAAATACATAAGAATTTGTTGCTAAGTCCTTTATATCCCATTATTATGTGCTAAGGGGAAGTCATCTAATTTAAAATGAAAGTTTCTGTGAATAAATGAAAAGGACTTGAGTTAGATATTTAGAGTGAACTTTTGATAAATGTTTCTCCCCTCTATCACCTTGATCCATTATGGTATTAGTAATGTTGCAAACCCATAGAAAAAGAGGGAGTCTAAATATGATAACCAACACAGAAGCCAAGAAATTAAAGTAAGATACACTAAGGAAATATTGATTACAGAGAGTCAAAGACCCAGAGTTTTGTCCTTTTTCTTAGATACTCTGTGAATATATCTTAAAATGTACCCTAATATTCACTATATAAAATATGCAAAATATTTATATTTTTATATATCTTGCATAACAACTTTTGTTATCCTCCAAAGTTTTATTTCATGCTATGATCACTCAAAATGATATTATAATCAATCAAAATGTACATGCCATAAAATACTTAAAAATATAACTTCAATCATTCATTGATATTGTTCCATCATAGTTATAGCACAATTTAACCATCACATTACATTTAACATTGCTATGTCCTGCTTTCCCTTTCATAAATAAGGATACAACAAATACCCTGCTTATATCAGATCATCAAAGCACATATTTTTAGAAGTAAAATTAGTGAGTAAAATATAAAGCATGTTAAAGGCTCTTGCAAAATTGCTTCTCAGAAAAAGGTGTACTAAATTTCTCTAACCAACTGTGAATGAGAGTATCTTATATGGTCTCAATAATCTCAGTCTTTAATCTCCCATATGGATTTGAAAGAGAAAAGGCAATTTCACCTGAAAGAAAAATAGAATTTCACAGAATAATAAGGTGCAAGAGCTTCCGCCTCAGTGGATTACTGCTCCTGCTCCTCAGTTCACAAACCTCTAATGTGCAAATGGTGATGAAGAAGACGAGTGTCTAGAGGGAGTGAATTAAGCATGGCTTTTCCTGAGGCCCTTACTGTTATAAGATAAATTATCTTATTGATTATCTAGAAAATCCTCCATTCAGAGTACAGTGTCAGCTATTTTTAATAATAACTGATAAGTCAAAATGATCCCATTTTCTTTCATAGAACAAAGGATATAAACACATTAATGACATTTTGATAGGCAATGAAGCTTCTCCTGACATTCTTCAAAATTCCTCTTTATTTTCATGCAATTAAGTCATGCACTGCTAATTAATCTCTCCTCAGGAATCCAACTGAATTGATATTAGTTAGTGAAAAATCAGTGGAAGGAGTCAAGCAAATGACATTTCCACATAAAACATTTTTACAGTCCTTCCTAAATATAAGGAGCTCTAAGATGGTAAAAAAAATGAAATAGATCTTCACAGGAATTTTATTTTCACTCATTTTACAAGGAGAAAAGAAAGTTCTTTTTTA